ATACATGGTCAAAAAGTATTAAAGGAACCCTGTAATAATATCGGAAATCCTTATACTTTTGTAGAGGAGCTTATTATAATAAGATTTTAAGTGAAATTTTTATGTCATTAATTTTTTTTAATTATACACGATTGTTAATTCTATAAATTTAGGAATGAAATTAAAATTAGTTGCACTAACGTAAATATTGTGGCTGACTAAATCTCATGCATCACATAGATCAAGAATCATATGAAAGTGTGGTGCTTTAGGTGCCCGATTTCTGGGGACCATACATCCATTGCATGAACCATGTGATATACCAAGAAATTTGGTGAGATATATTTTAAAAATATGTACATTTATTTATCCTATGAAATGATATTTTTTATTTATATATGTTGAAAATATATGATTGTCTCATTAGGTCAATTTAATTAACAACCTTACCAAAAAAATGTAAGTTACTTTATAATGTCTTTTGAGTTAATTTGTTTTGTTAAAACGAAGTATCTTGTTAAATAATTAATTGAGTAGAAAAAAGTTTAAACCGTTTAAGGTGCAATTTGTAAAATGTAAGCAATACAATTATTTCTTCTTGGGTTTGTTGGATGATCCATTGAATCGAATATGTTCCAGATAAGCCTGAATCGAAATAGTTTTATATATCTTATTAATCGCCAATAAAGAAAATGGCATCACAAAACAACAAGCACTTACTAGTTTAATTATTTCTATACAAAATTTAAAGTCAAATATAAACCAAATTATTTGAAAGTCAAATATAAACCAAATTAGTTTATTTCTATACAACAAAAACATTTATCCATCAAGGTAAGATAATTGTCAGTTTTTTTCACACGTTGTAAGGATTTTACGACCGTGCGAAAAATACTGTAAGCTATAGGTATCACATTTCAAATTTTTGGTTCCATCATTCTTTGAGAATCAAAGATGCACAAAATTAAACTAGTGATTATATGATAGAAGAATTACTAACTCTTGGGCATAAGTATTCTTTGGAGTCATCGGATGGTTTTCTTATGGAGCCATCCACCACTTAATGTATTGACACTTGTCCAAATTATATTTATTACAAGACACGTGTCAATGCACTATTGGTGAATAAGTGTGGATGACTCTATAAGTCGAGCCAGCTCCATAGTAAAACTGTAAGTTGGGATACATACAGACTAGAGAGCATGTATGCCACTTTTTCTGTATTTGTGGGATTATCATTATCACGAAATTCGCAACACAGAATATTTACCAGACCAAATATGCCACCGTCTTGCAGTTCAAATACCTGATTTTCGTCACTAAATCTAAATAAGAACGAAAAAGCGTGATTTGTATTAAGCAAATAGAAGTATTGAATCACATATAGAAGTATTATGTTTGCAATATTGTAAAAGTAAAATGCAATATGTCAATTGCACTTCAAATCCATTTATGTTCACCAATTTCATCATCGTCTTATAAGTCAAATGTCATAATTCCATGATCAGTCATGAAAATCGATCCCAAACTAACAATAACTCTCAAAATTCAAACAAACTACTAAGATCCACAAAACTTGCCTTAAACTAAAAATTTCAAATGACGATATCCATTTTCTCACTTATGTATTTTAGAATTATGAATGGTGCTAACCTTAAATGTCATTATTAAAGAACAAGTTATTCAAAAACGCAATTTCTTGGAATGTTATTTGCAATTTAAGTCAATAAATTGAAATTCCTCACATATCCATTGTGGGCACATTAAGATGCGACGTGCCAAAATCTTGTGATCTATTCAATCACAAACCTACCATTGTTCTTTATCTTTATTGTTCTTTCAATTGCTCATCAAGGACTTAAGTCTCAGTTGTATTCTGATAGCTGCTTAAGTTCCTTTCATTTATGCTATGTTCTAGACCATATGCGAGTGGCTCTTCCTTTATTCAGCTGAATTCATTGAGATGTATCTGCACTCTGTTTTATTTTATATATGAATAAATCTATCGTTTTTTTTTAAAAAAAAAAGTATATTAATCTTCCCTCATTGTTGGACATCTGGTCAACAAATATACAACTTGGTTGAGAAATCCACATGACTGTTTGTACTTAGTATTGGGCCTGGGCCCAACAGAAGTGATGTCATTTCATTATATTGGACAACAAATTCTTGTTCCAGTGGGCTGGGCTGTATTGCAGGTTTTGTGAATATATAATGGGCCGGAAGCTGACTCTTTGCATATTTGAATCTGTCCACAATATAATCTATTTCACTTTTTTCTCTTTTCTCTTTAGACTCGATTTATTAACATTTCTGTGCTGCTGCTGCTGTTCTTCAATGGAGGTCGTCTTGCTTAGAAAGGAGAACCAGTAATCAGTATGCTTTGCTTCAGAGCACATAAATGGCTACACCAAAAGTGAAATTCGATTGAACAAAAGGCAATAAACGGAAAAGTTACCTGTCAACGACAAACATTGATATTGGTCAAACCTCTTGGAGCTCCTTTAATGGCGGTGGAAAAGGACAAGCTGAGAGACGGAGCACTAGCTGCAGCCACCTTCTTCATTGCACTCGCAATCTCTTTTCGCATAATCAAGCAGCTCTTCATAAACCTCAAACGAAAGAAATCGTGTTATTTGAACACAGAACACAAACCTCAGCACTCGTTCAAGCGTGTCTTGGCGGACAACTCGTATTCTCAGTTCAAACACCTAAAGCTCCACACAGCAGAATCACAGTCCGAAGGTAGGATTGGAAGAACTCTCCGCAGTTATTTATACAGTTTTCTAATTATTATTATTTTTTTATTTTTTTTTTTTGCATTTTTGGTAGAGGAGTATTCAAATTTGCATCCGTACAAGGGGTCGATTTCCGAGCTAATCAAGGACCCAAATGTGGGTTTTTTGGAGCTTCTTAGCGAGTGCGAGGAGAGGAATTTGGAGATGAAAGGTTCTCATGTGTGGGTTGAGACTGAATCCCAGTTGAAGGAGCTAGTGGAGGTTTTGAGCAATGAGAGGGTCTTTGCTGTGGATACCGAGCAGCATAGTTTCAGGTCCTTCTTGGGTTTCACGGCCCTCGTTCAGGTTCTCTTTAGCATTTTGACGAGCGGGTGTGTGTGCTAGTGGCCTGATGATGTAAAAACTCGGTCCTTGAGTGTGTACTCGTCTATGGCTGACCTGATAACTTGCATGACAAACTATGGCTAATAACTTGTGGTGGTTAGTGGATTGGCATTTGAATAATATTTACCTGTTATTTCAAAATCAATTGAGGATCATCATAAACAGTTTTTATTATGTCTAATTTCGACCTTTCTGTGTTAAAATGATCTACTCTGCAGAATGTGATATCAAGTAATGTAATAGTATATGTCTTACTCTATGCACTTTGCTATATATTAATTCATAGTGGTTTTCTTGTATAGTGGTTTTATTCCTTAGACATGATATGCATGTTCAGCTGTCTTTGGTGGATTTTAGAGGGCATTAAATCCCATTCCATCAAAAAATAAATGTAATGAAGAAAAAGATTCACGATTTGTGCTTAAGAAGAAAATGCAACTTGTTGGGGGTTCTATTTCAATGTTGCATTTTTTAGGAAATTATAATTTTGTTTTTGTGCTCAGTAATTGATTATTTTGTGTTCCCTTGTTTGAAAATTGTGAAAGATATCCACCATGCGTGATGATTATTTGGTGGACACAATTGCCCTGCATGATGTGATGCAACTTCTTAGGCCAGTGTTCGCTGATCCTGGAATATGCAAGGTGATGTTGCAATTATTCTCGTTCTGAATTTTCTTTAGCCATGTGTCAGCATCCATTTGGCATTCATTTTTTGCACGTGTCATGTAGCTACATGTTACATGAGCAGTTTTGTGGTATCTTGAAAGTCGTTTGATAGTATATGTGAGTGATGGTTTCTTTGTGATTCTTTATTTGTTTGTTAAAAATTCTCTTCCTGTCACAGGTATTTCATGGGGCTGATAATGATGTTCTTTGGCTGCAAAGAGATTTCCACATATATGTTGTCAATTTATTTGATACAGCGAAGGTGAATCATATGATCTATATTGTCCAATTGATGCTTATCTCTATTCTGATTCTCTGCCTTGGTTCAGAATTCCTAATATAATAATTGTAAATTTAGCGAACCACAAGGAATAAACAGCAGAAGAATTATTCATATTTGCTCCCAGATTACAGTTGACAACTTTCTATTTATGTCAATACTGGGTATAATATTAATATTTTGCAGGCATGTGACATCTTATCAAAACCACAAAGATCATTGGCATATCTGCTTGAAACTTACTGCAGTGTTTCCACAAACAAACTGTTACAGGTTTGATTACGAATTTCAGTTTCATGTACCTGTGATTTAAATTTATGTTTAATTAGTATGTTTACTGAAATAAACTCTAGACATGCAAGGAGAAGTGGGCAAGGAAACAGTGTTTGGAGGTTAACCATACTCATTTGAAGAATAAGCATATTATGTGTACCCCTTCTTTCAAAAACTTTGTTCCTTCATTCCGAAATAACACTGATAAAGCATGATTGTATGAACAAAATGTGTTTTTGCTCTTTTCTTGTTTTGTCAGTGTTATTTTCGAGTAAGCTGTTGACTTTGCTAGCACTAGCTCTAAATGGGTGAAGTGGCTGTACCAAATGATCTGACAACCTTGAATTGTCTTCTTTATTCCCCGTCTGCCAACCTTAATCCTGCTCTACGTTTATACTTTATTGTACCAACAAAACATGCTAGCAGTAGAAAATTTCAATACAGACAAATAATCTGTATAGGGCATTCAAAATAATAAATATTGGTAAAAACTTGCCATGAAGGCCACTATTATTAATGAGATGAGTTGTACATGAGCTAGGGAGAACGAACTGATCTTTGATTCGGGCTATTGGCCTCTTATACATATGCTGGTCTGGATTGTGATAAAAATAAAATAATTATCTTAAATGAGACTTGATTGTGATGGGTGGGTGGTTCATTTGCATCCTTTAAAAGCTGGTTACCTTTTTTTTATGGCAACATTGAGGAAGCTGTTATAATGTGAATTGTAGCTGACTATTACCACTTGAATTGTAGAGAGAAGACTGGAGACAACGTCCCATGCCTATGGAAATGATACAGTATGCCCGAGTAGACGCACATTATTTGTTGTATATTGCATATCGTCTTTGTTTGGAGCTCAAACAGAAGAAAAACGGTACGTGATGTACTTCACTATGACTATTCAGTATTCTTTCAGTTGTCATTTAACACCATAATACAGCTTTTGAAAACTTTTCCTTCTCAATATTTTACACACGTTAAACATTCTAAGAAAATAAGTGCATCAGAAAGTTCGTCTACTGGTGATGAATTCCATTTTCTTCTTGAGGCCAGTCGGCGTTCGAATGCAACATGTTTGCAGCTTTTTGCGAAAGACATTGAAGCTTATCCAGGAGAATTAGCTGCATCATCAATAGTTTCTCGTTGCTTGAATGATCAAGGGACTTTTTCATCCAGTCTTTGTGATACAAAGGTATCTATTTACTGTGAGGATAATATAAGAACATTGTTCAGCATGGGGAAGGATAATCCTGATTATGAATTTTGGGGTTCAGTTTCAGGAACTTGTTAGACGGCTGTGCTTGTGGAGGGATATAATGGTTAGTCCAAACATGTCTTTTCATATGCTCCATAAATTCGATTAATTGTTCTCTTACTGTATGATATTCTCCCATGTGGTACCATATACAAATGGATGTACACTTTGGTTCGGAGAAAAATAGAGTAACGTGTACAATGCTCTTTATCATAATATTTTTCAAGATATGCAGGTCTATCAATCAGACCAACCATGAAGAATGTATCTTTTGAGCTTTGTGATTTAACTATCAATCAATACAGTTATGCACAACTAGGTCTTCATGCTTGTCTCCCAGTTACCAGATAGATAACACATTATGATATTAATATTATCACTCAGAATTCAAATTTGTAATAACTCTTTCAGGCCCGTATGCATGATGAAAGCTTGAGATTTGTTTTGTCGGAGAACGCCATCATTGCACTAGCATCCCAAGTCCCAACAACCGAAAAAGATATTTGCAGCTGCATATCCAAAGCCGACCAAGATAATGAATCTGCAGCTGCTGCTCCTCTCCAATCTCCATCTCCTGTAGTTTGCTATCATTTGGAGGACCTTCTATTCTTGATCGGTGAAAGCACAACCTTTTCTGAAAATATATTCCCAGTTTTCATCCACCGGCACCTGGGACCCTCCGGTAGTTGTCCTCTCTCTGCGTATAATTATGCTTTGTTGTCCAAAACTAGCCTGGGACTAAACCGGAAGTCCATCTCGAGCTGTAACGGATTTAGGGCTTCCAAACAGGTGGCAAAGAAGGCTTCTCGAGAGCTCTTTGTTCAGAAGTTCTCGTGCAAATCCCCAGTTTATCACAATTGCAAGATCTATGCAAATGACGGGAGATTATTATGTTATTGTGACCGCAGAAAACTTGAATGGTTAGACAACTATCTCTAAAATGCCCAATACCTTTCTGAAACTCCTTGTACTTGTCTGAACTTGTTAATATCCGTGGGCATGATTATTCCGAAAAACAAAAGAAAACTCCTGAATCTCTGGTAGTTACATGAATAAAGTCCCTCTCTTAAAATTTACAAAAACCCCCGTCTTAACATTTTGACCCCTTCATAAGTGGAAAAACCTTCAAAAACCCCACCCCTAACCTTTGTAGTAACATCACAGTCGCCTGCTTGAGTTCAAGACGATATAAAACTTATCATATTTTTATTTTTCACTTTTTTTGGCATGTCTGGAAATGTTTTCCTCTTCTTTTGGGATAATGACCTTTATGCCCATTTTCTTTAGGTACCTCAATAGGAATCTAGCTAAACTTGTGGAGGACGATCCCCCTTCCATCATGCTCCTCTTCGAACCCAAGGGACGGCCAGAGGATGAAGATAACGACTTCTACATACAGAGTAAGAAAAACATTTGTGTCAGCTGTGGCGAAGGAAACCACTACTTGCGGTATAGAATCATACCTTCATGCTACAGAATTCATTTTCCCGAGCATTTGAAAAGTCACCGTTCGCATGACATCGTCCTCCTTTGCGTGGATTGTCATGAAACCGCTCACGCTGCTGCCGAGAAGTACAAGAGACAGGTCGCGGATGAATTCAGAATCCCGTTGTTTGTTCGTAAAGTGGTTGACTTTGACAAGAGTCAAAATGCGCATTCGTCATCTATGCCTGTTGTGTGGTCTGAGGAGATTGGTGTTTCGCCTCTACAGTTGCGTACGGCTGCTATGGCCTTGCTGCGTCATGGCCCACAGATGCCGTCTGAGCGTCGTGAAGAATTAGTGCAGGTAGGGAAGTTCATGGTAATTGGTAATTTGGCATTAATATTTGGAATTTAAAATGTTTCCTTTTTCATGCATTATAAGTTGATATAGTTACACAGGTCTTGTGCTTACTGCCTTACGCTAATTTAACGTCCTCGGAAATTTCGCTAGGGGTAAGGTTCAAATGTGATACTAAGCCAAACATAGTAGATTTCCAGCTCAACCTTTTATCTGTAATTATAAAAGAGGAAAAGAAAAGAAACAAAAATGTTCTCACATTGACTTTGCTGACTTTTGTTTGCCCAAAGTCATCATAATGATTCTGTAATTAAGAAATTGCTTGTCATTTTCCCGGGAAGGTATGATGCTCGGTTAGACTAGTTATTGTCCCCATGTCTGTAGTCTCTTTACTGTTTCAACTGCTGCTTTGAACGTTATGCTCAAGGTTTTTAGATTAATTAGCATTATCAAGAGAAAATCATGCTCTACATATCCAGGCACCGTGTCTGTGTTTGACCCCATTTCTTCCACTTTCAGATAATATTGAAGCTAAGTAACATTTTATCTGTATACTCTTAACATTCATGTAAAGATGATAGCCTTGTTTATGAAAACCATTATTATAATCTCGGATATCATATATTATTTATTTTAGCGAGTAACTCCATACACGACTTCACAAGTCCTTGTTGTGCACAGATTGTCAGGACATACTATGGAGGGAGAGAAATATCAGATGAGGATCTCGAAAAGGCTTTGCTAGTTGGAATGACTCCTCATGAAAGAAGAAAATTCGAAAAAAAGAGAGGTTTTACATTTAAGTATCTGCCGAGAGAAACCAATGCAGATGATGTGAAAGAAACTAATGTCTCTAATTCAGATCAACCAAAGGGTGAAAGTTTTGATTCTTTAAGCACCAATATGACAGAGACTGATGAAAAACAAGATTGTGAGGATATTTTGATGGCGGGGCATCGTGATGGTGGAAATTTATCTAATATGACGACAAGCCAAGCGGATGAAAAAGATTATTTGGTGAAGCAGGAATCAAAATTATCGTTATTAGGACACGGGCCCCACGGGAAGCAGGTAGTCGCACATCTGCTGAGGGAGTACGGTGAAGATGGGGTCCGTGAATTTTGTCAGAGATGGAGACAGATTTTCGTTGAGGCACTTCATCCTCGTTTCTTGCCTGCTGGTTGGGATGTTATGCACAGGTATTCTTTAAAGTTCTCTATCCTTGAATGATGGATTGTTTTGCCAACTTAAAAGTGCAAAATTTATGTGTCCTTTTGATGAACAGATCAATTCTTCTAAGTTTGGACTTTATTGAACTTCTAGATATTTAGAATTTATTATTACTCAAAAGATAATTAAGTATATTCTGAAGAAGTTGCAAATTTGCCTTTCCATTGAGAAAAAGAGTCATTATTCGGCAAGTCATGTGTAGAAAAAGAGCATCAAGAACGAGAGAGAAGGGCATTCGTTATGCAATTAAACGAATTCATAGCTTGCGTGTCCATTATATTAAAGAGTGTTTGATCTATTTACATGCAGTAGAAATCTTGGTACAGAATGTTTTGCCTTGTTTCTGCAACTGTTGAAGTTGACCACGGCTAGAGTTTTTGCTAGAAAACTGTGAAGCATCAATAATTTGTTTGGCTACTGAAACAATTTTGCTTTGGTCAATGGATGTGTTTAACGTCGAACACCTTTTTGCCAGTGGTAAGAGAGATTTCGGAGAATTCAGCGTATACAAACCGACCAAGAAAGCTTCGGGCGTTGCTGCAGAAGGATAGAGCCCAAACAATTTCATTTATTGTTTCTATTTCTTCTTTTTCCTTTTCCATTCTTCTTGCAGTGAGGAATGCTTGCATTTTTGCATTGTTCTCCCATGGAATGTTCAAACACTGTATTGTTGGTTGATAAGGACTACTAATGGTACTTAGCTTTTGTTTATTCTCTTGGGTTGAAGGAAGTTGAGAGGACTGCTAGGGTATTTAATTTTTATTTATTTTCTTGGGTTGAAGGAAAGTGATTCGAGTTGAATTTCTTTCTTAATGGAAGTTTTCAGTTGATTCAGCAATGATATATGTTGTTCTGTTTCATTAATATTATTGTCATGGAATTAGATTTCTTGTTTTACTTTTACATGCCATTTTGTATTTTACTAATGAATGATTATAAATGAAATCATGTACATGTGACATTCGTTGTACGAAATGAATTCCAAATGGAATATGAAAGAGGCATAGGAGACCATTTTTACTTGACAGTTCTTGCAAAGAAACAAACATGCAACACTAACTAGAAAGCAAAACCAGCCATCATTCATTTCATTGCCAAAATATGAACAATTGCAACGCATGAAGAGTATATATACCTCTCATCATTAAGCTTCTTCTAAACATACAATTGAGGGCTGTAGATATAACATTTTCAAGATCCTCTGTATAAACAGGCAACTATCGATTCTGAATAAAAGACGCTTATCATTGATGCTCATTCCTTATATATATCAGGACCTCCAATTTAATAAGTTCACCTTATCATTGTGTGTTCAAAAATCATTTGGGAGGTTAGATCAGTTGCATGAAAAAGTTTCATCAAGAACCTGTTTGAAGTGAACCTGTTTGAAGTGCCCTAACAGAAAGTTCAATCTGCCGAAGTGAAAATGTTTCTAAAGGGTCAAAAAAAAAAAAAGGCATAATTTATTCACATTACAGAAAGCTCGATCTACCAAACCGAAAATAGCTAAAGGGTCAAAACAACTGGCATAGTTGATTCACATTATAGACAAAATACGTACCAGTTGCCAGTTCAGCCTAAAGTAATAACTGCGACTTGTGATCAACACCATTGAAGATAAAAGTCCCGCTCAATGGAACAAATTGTTTTGTTATTAGCTGCATATCAGAAGAAATGTCTCAAATTAGAAGCTGAACGCATATGTAGTGTTTATTTGGATCTAACTTACTGAACAATTTTGCGATTTAATGTTGCGCAAACATGAAAAACTCAATGAAAGCAGGGATGGCGAGAATTAGTCTTGTCAAATGTAACAGGAAAAGTATGACATTCTTTTTTTTTTTTTTTCCAGACTTTTAGTTCATATTTTAATGTCTATTTGAGGAAAATGGCAACACGTCGAGACCAAACAATGTTTGCAACAAGACTGCACTTGAAGAGATTGAGAAAAATTAAAATAAAATTAACCAACCTTGATCACTTCCTGTGATGCTATTCCTCCTATAAAGGCGGCCACCGCATGAAGCTCTGAGGCACCATAACGGCATATCTCGCTAATAAGGTCCTCCTTCAAGGTTTATCCATTGCAACCCAAATCGTTAAGTAGGGAAACAGCTGTTGTTTTCAGTCTAAAAATATCCTCATCCATTCCACTGCATAATATCAACCATAGTTATATACGCATTAGTTATTAATTTTAAATAGACTATAGATGGATAATAAAGGGTCAGTTTTTACCCATCAAATTGTCCAGGGAAATTGTTATAGTTTGCAGCAAAACGATCTACAGCTCGAAGAAGGATATAAAACCCGACGGCCGTACTGCAGCGAAATGAGAATGTGTTACAACAGTTAGTGATGCAAGCAACAACTACAAATAACAGTAAAGGTAAGATCTATAAACTATAACCTATAACCAAGCAAAGCATATACGGATATTGTACTACCAATTCAAGTATTAAAGCAGCAGGTACTAAGACTTCGAATAAGGCATCCAATAGGGCTACAACTAAAACACATCTAACACTGTCAAGAAGTAACATTCAGGTATAATAAGGGAAATGTACCAGTAGTCTTCATCGGTTAGAAACTTTTGCAGCTCCATCTGAACCGGCAAACTGTACTCGTCTTCAATAGTGCGGTATCGGCATACCTAATAATGGATAAGAAATAAAAATAAAAAAATAGTTATTTAGTTTTTGAAACTCAATGAAGATGGCAAATAATAAGTTTGAAAAGTCAGAAGGGGGCTATAAATAAAAATACCCGCATCATGAGGGGCACAGGGCCCGCATACAGGACATTGAAAGTAATGTGATCCTTCATTTCAAGATGAATATTCAGCTAAAACTCAAACTCGCAGTTTTCTTGGAGCATTACTTAGATCGGTTATAGCAGTGAACTAAAAACTGTGCAAGGTACTCTTTGAGATGAGTTTATGGTCAAAACAAAAACCAACACAGGTGGTTCCTCAACAGATGAGTGAAAGCATGATAAAAATAGGCAGTGCCTGAAAACTCAGTAATTGGCTGACTAAAGGCCGGACCTCTGATTCCATGGAAAGAGCTAGAGGACTAACTTGAAGCAGGGTACAAGTTTTTGCACAAACCTTAAGCTTTCGAGCATTTTTGCAGAAACTTTTTATGGTCGTGTTTGGGATGCTATGTGGATCTCTTCCAATTTTCTTTAATAGTTTCTTTGTGTATGTCTCCATAACATGAAAATCAGCCTCAGCCTTAGCCTGATATATCTTTTGCAGGTTGTCATATAACCTACAAGAAAATCAATAAATAGCCAATCGTCAACATAAGACTCTCACTAGAACACGAAAAGGTAATAAATAGTAATTCAAAGGCACACGTCACTAACTCTGTAGAAGATGTCATGTCGGGGATTGCTCCCTCCAGAGAAGCCTCTCCACTACCTTCATTAGCTATAAATTCCTGAAGCTCGACCAAGAAATGTGAAATAAGACAAATAAGAAAACACATAACAAGTAATGATGGTACCTCATATGACATCCATTCTTTTTCAAAGTGCACTTAAATGGGATGGTCATAATCAGTCTTAGATGACAGTAGTGCCAACTGGAACATTTAATTGCTACCGCCAAGACACTAATTTTGAATGGAACCATCACCCCTATGTTAGGATCTCATTTAGGATTTGCATTGATATATAATGAGCCAGTTCTGTGTACGTTACATTTAGGGCCTGCTGGTTTCATTTACATATGTCATCTTCTGATTTTTTACTGTTCAATGCCAATTGCCAAATTTATTTGGATTAGCCATATCAGAAATTTCAAGCAAGATTCAGGGTGTTGCTACTCTAGAATCGAGCCAAGAGCCTAATCAAGACATCCTCAGTTTAATGGGTATTTAAGTTGATAATTAAAAGTTAACAGCCACATTTTATTACTAAATTGATTTTCTACCAACTTCTTACTGAACACTTCAACTACTTCTATTTCTTTGTTGTATTCATTTTATACAGAACATAGACTTCAAAAGCAACTGCTATGGGAAAAACTGCCAAAACGTAAAAACATATCTAATTCAAACAAAATCATTTATTAAAACTAAAACTAAGGTCTTGGTGTTAAAAAACTGGAAATACTTGAGACATAAAAAAAGTTTACAAATGAAATGAAACATGTACTTAATAATAACACCTTTAAGGCTGCCATCAAGACCCAAAAACTGGATGACTTGGAATTAATTTCAGTGCAGCTATTATTAATAATCTGATGTAGTTCTGGACCTGAGATGAGAAAATTGTGAGTGTTGACTTCAGAACAGCTATCACTATATCGGTTAAAAGATCAAAAGATACCAATTGGTTGCACAAAATTGCTACAAGTGAATCCTAGGTATATGGAACAAAGGCTAAGGGCGTGCTTGTTTACAAATAAATCCGCTCAAAATGAGTTTTTTCAATTAACGAGGGTTAATTTTAAAAAAGTTAGACGGTTAGTTAGAGAGATTTTGATTTTATATTAAAATAATATTTAAAATAAAATAATTAAAGTTGACTTGATGTAAAAGTAGGAGAAAAATGATGTGAAGTGATAGTTAGTAAAATTATGTGAGTGGATGAATAGTGAATTAAAGTTGATGTGATGTGTAAGAATGATTGGTTTGTATTATTTAATTATACTGATAATATTGAGGATAGTGGGGTTGGGTTAAAATTGAGTTAGATTTTGAGTATGAGTTGAATGTGAATGAATTATTTTGTAAACAAACATGCTCTAAAACTATCTAAGATAGTAGACAAACTCATACCGCTAGCAACCTAACTCAAGTATGCAACTCGGGATAAACAAACCGAATAATTCTATCCAGCAAATAAATGGGTGTAACTTACTAATTCCTTTTGGAGCAAATACTTTGAAGGAAGCTTCAATGGCTTCTTTGTAGTTGTCTTCATCAGATGCAATCATCTTGGCCTTGATTAAATCCTAAAATGCCCATCCAAAAACCAATCACACAACCTCAGCAGAGGACATAAATAATAAGGATATTAAATAAATTGCCAAGTTAGAGAACTTGTTATGCACCTTAAATATTTTTTTCTCCTCCCTTGTTGATGGAAGGTTTCCATTATGCGTTTTGGCCCACTCATCTGCCACCTTAATGAGAATTCTAACATATGGAGTGTGTTTATGAACAACAGGATCGGATGTATCCAAATCTATAGTTTCTGAAAATCTGTTAATAAGATACTAAATAGTTAATATTCGAAACAGATTGTAGGTAAACAGAAACATCTACAAATTAAATGGTGAAAGACAATATCAAACCTTCTGAGTTCTGGCCATGGGTTATTGAGCCGCAGATCATCCAGAAAATGATCAGGCTTCGATTCAATCACTGCATGTTCCTGTATTACAAAGTGAATTATGATTCATGCATTAACAAGTCGATTCTGAACCTCCCTATTCCTTAAAATGGCTGTACTTATCACAAAAACAAGATCTTAATTCGAATAAGTACTTCCACACATAGCTCGTATTGTTCCCAAATGGTCATGACAACAAAAGAGAGATTCTCTTTGAACAAAAGTAAGTAAGAATAAAGCATGTAAAACCACCTTCACACTGATCCGAACCAAACCAGTAAGCCCATAAGAGCGTGCGAATACAAGCATTACATTTGCAGCACGGCATATTCTGTCCAGCTTCACCATCGAATGTTCAACAAGCTGAAGAAGAATGCAATTAAAGAACTATGTAAGCAGCTAATAACCACAGTAATGGAACATCAAGGAATCAAAATGTATGCTAATATGCATAGGATTATGTTAATCACATTTAAGAATGCTATCAGAATGACTTGTAGGGCAAATCCACCAACAGACATCTGACATGAATCAACATAAAACCACAGCTGAATGAAATTAATTTAACAGATTGCACGGAATTGTAATGCAGCATGACAACTAAGATGGCTAAGACAAAAGCATTATGTAGTTGGACGATTCATGGAGAGTGCATTCGTCCTGACCTGCGAGGCAACTACCAATGTAAACTGATGAAAGAACGAATGGTTGGATTCGATGAGCTTTTCGGGATATTCTTCAATATATTTGGCCTTCACTGCAGCATTCAGCTCCTCTAGAAAAGCGCACACAGTTTTCGCCTTGGATTTGCCGACACTTGATTCATCCACTACACGGGCATCAGCCAAAACAATCGAATGATACACAGGCAATTACAGTAAAACAAAAACAAAGACATTGAGCAAACATTGAGCAGATTGAGCAAGAATAATAAAAAGGAGATATACCCATGAAATTATTCCCAAGGTCTCCCAGTTCAACTTTAGAGCCGTCAACAACAGTAATACTTCCAACACCGCCAAGAACCAGATTTTTTAGTGTTTCTGAGCCGGTGGGGCCACAGTTCAATAAGCAGATGCTTGATTTCTCGAGGGCTGCTTGTCCTTGCTCACCCCAAATTCTGCAGAAATAATCAAATTACTGGGGAGATTGCGAGCGGTTTTTTCTTCTTTTGCAGAAAGTGCAGGAGGAGGCTTCTGAGAAGCGAGGTAATGTTGTTGTATCTGAGCTGACGATCGTATTTGGTTTTGGGCTCTGCCATTGATGATTTGCTTTGTTGACAGGGAAAATATAATAATGTCGTGTAAGAGGTTTTATTTGGTTTCTCACGTAGTTCTTAATATTGATTATAATTACAAAAAAAGACTGCAAACAAATCGAACAAATTGAATAGTTAGGCTATGTTTTTGATAGTCAAGTGTATAGTTTATTAGTTAGATTATAAGCCTCCCGTAATTAAATAAGTTTTGGTAGGACGAACTTTTTATAAAAACTCGAGTTTATTTATAAGTTTCTTTGAATAACTTTTTAAATAAGCTCGTTGAAATTTTTATTTTAACTAGCTTATCCGCTAATTTTATCAAATACTTTTATCATATAAATTTGTTTTTCAACTATAAACTATAAGCTCGAAAATTACATATAGATTATAAGCTAGTTTATCAGTTATCAGCTAGTTTTACCAAATATAATCTTAGTTAGTTAGTTAGTACTCAACTTGAATTCGGAGCATGTTGAATTCAACTCAAATTAGAGCTTAAGTTTGTAGTTTGTATACGAAGTTACGAACAGCTTAAATATATGTGAAGTTACCTATATAGTTCTAACTATACATTTTTTAATTAAAATTTAAACTGCAAGTGGAACAAGTTCGAGTCAATATCGAGCTTTTGTGTTTTCTAATCAAGTAGAACTGGTCCTACAACATGATCGTTATGCTCATTACTATACTTGTTAAAATGCTCGGCTTGTTGAGATCAATAACTATAAAAAGGAAATCGAGTCTAGCTCGATAAAAAAAAATGTTCAACTCAAATCGATTAATAACTATAAAAAAGAAATCGAGTCTAGCTCGCTAAAAAATAATGTTCAACTCAAATCGATTCAGTTGCACTTATATTTTATGAGTACTTGAATAGTGATTATTGTTGGTTTACAACATTTTTTGTTCTTCGTAAAATTGTATTACTCTCTACTGTTTACATGTCATTGACCTCAAATTAAGAGTCAAAGATGGTTTAACTCCACAAAGTTTTATTAAATTATAATGACTTTATAATTACTATTCTCTGTATTTGCAAATAAATAAGTTTTGTTCCAATTATAATACCAATCATGTAATTACCTAACTTTAAATTATCAATATAACACTATTGTTATGTTAACATGCAAGTAATATTTAACATTCGATTAAATTGAAGATCAAGAACCAAAATCTATACTTATATTAAAAGGTATATCATTTACCAGATTTAGTATAAAGAAAAGTCAACAACATTTATTGCATTACTATTTCCGTATTATACAATCTATATTTATATAAAAAGAGATTCTATTTACTACATTTATTATCCAGAAAAGTTAACTGCATTAAATGTCATTACTATTTTGGTATTATAATATTTTATTTATTTAATTGATTTATTTATTTTATTTTAAAAAGGTAAGTATAATAAAAAGATTTTAATAATAAAAATATCAAATACCAAATAAAAATGTACACTTTGACTTATTTGATTATATTTGGTATTTGATTATACCAAATATATTCCTATTTAGTATATACATTAAATACTTACTAAAGCATTTATTTGTTTTATTTGTCAAAATTAAGTATAGATTTGTTTATATTATCAAATCATAAAACAATATAAATTCATATTGTAAAAAAAAATCATATAATTTTATAACAATTTTACTACACTATTTAACAATATTTATTTTTTATTATATAATAAAATAATAATTAAATATTATATGGTGAACAATAATAAGTAAAACTGTTACTTTCTCTTATATCAAGAGATAAATTTATATGCTAAAATTAAATTTTTATTAGTATAAATATTTTAGTGAGATAATATGTTAATTATTTTACAAGTTAGCCCTAACATGCTCATATTTAATGTTTTAAAAAATGTAGAAAAAAAACTTATAATAACTCTATTGTTTTTTAGACTTAAATGTTGATTAAAAGAGGTAAAAATTTCTAATTTTTTAGACTTAAACGTTGATTAACACCATAAGTTTAGAGTTTATATTTAGTAAAATTTCTAATTGTAATAAAAAAATCAATTTTTACTATATTATAGAATATCTTTAAATTCATTATAAAAAAAAAGAAAAAAAACTACAATAAAAAAAGCAAGTCAGCTATATATCAATTTGTTGTACTCCTCAAATCACATTCACAATTTGGCTACAAGGAAAGGAAACTCATTGATTAAAATATTATTTTGTCAGTAGTCTTATTGTACAAGAGACTTTAAGACTTCACTTGAATATTATAAAACTTTTATTGAACATTGTACAATTTTCTTGCGTATTATAAACTTTTATTGAATATTGCATCTTATAATATAATATTTTTCAAATAAATATATCTCGTGCTTTGAACGGGTGACGTCCCGTACATTTTTTTTTATTCATGTATATAATTATAAGTCTGGATAAATAACCTTAAAATTGTGCACCACGCATCGGTTCTGTATTAGTAAAATACATTATTATAGTAAAAGAAAATGATTTAAGAGTTTTCAACTTCAACGCCGCCGACATCCAATATACAGAAATTGCGAGGGTTGAATTGTTATTTCCACTGCACCACATTCTTCAAGCAAAATTGAAGTTTCAGTACTTCTACATGGGAAGATAATCAATATATATAAATTATAGGGGTCAAAATGCTATTTCTCCTTCTTTGCCTGGATTCGGTTTTCCATAAGCAGAGCAGAACTTCCGATTCGTAGTCGCTCTCTTCTTCTTCTTTTGCATCTGCTGAGATCACACACTGAGCTAGGGAGAAAGAGAGACGCAAACAAGGAAACCAAATATTTGGGAAAAAAAAAAAGAAGGCAGAGGAAAAATGGCAGTGCGAACTAGGTTTGTGAAGGCAGCTCTTGGTTTAATGGCGATTTGCTTGGCGGCATACATAGTGGGGCCCCCTCTGTACTGGCACTTAATGGAGGGATTGGCCTCGGCCTCCGCCTCAGCCACTTGCCCGCCCTGCAACTGCGACTGTGATTCTGTGCCCCTTCTCTCTATTCCTCAAGGTACCATGTGAACATCGTGTTAGATCTGCGTTGATCTTCCTGTTTCGAGCGCTCATTTATGGGTTAATAATCTAGGTATCGCGTTCACCCTGCCTGAAATCACATTTTGGGGTGCGATTTTATGATGTTCTCATTGACGTGTGCGTGAGTTTCTATCTTGACTTTGGTTTATGTCGGAGTTCGGTTGTGGGCAGGGCCATTCTTAGGCGTCGCGGCGTAGTAATGAATGCAAGTGATTTTGGGTTTTCCTTTTTAGATTTTTCAGTTGTTGTATGACTTTATGAAGAGGTGGGTTTTGGCTCCCTTTGTGATTTGTATCTCCCAGTGGCCTGTGTGTGGCTGTGGTGTTTTTCCATGTTAAATGCTGAGCTGCATTTGATGTGGAAATATTTTCAGCTTCTTGCAGGATGATTGGTCTATTGATGGGAAACACTGAAGATTGAGCCTTTTGCTCTGACAGATAATGCTTATATCTATCTGCTTAATTTTAGTGACTTAGTAATGCCGCAGTTTTGTAAAGATGGAAACTTGGCTGCTCTTTACTACCTCACCTGGTTGGAAAATTCGATTTGATGACCAAAATCTCATGATTGGATCATGTTTAGGTCATCTATGAGATCCGCAAATAATTTAAGAAAACAAAATGCCTAGCAAAATGCTGCTGCCCTGTGACTCAACATAGTGTATTATATGGCCGTCCGTTACATTTACATGCTAATTTTAAGAACTTTGTTTCTTTTCTCAAATATTGTTAAAGACTTAAAGTACGTATTAGCATGCAGTTGATCCATATTATCAAATGATCTGTGTATAAATTTGTTTGTCAGAAGTGTTGATATTAAGTTTTTAATGAAAGAGGATACTTAAAGACAGAACACACATCCAGTTCTCAAAAGGAATGGTGTATTGTATAAGTTCATTATACTAGAAGAGACTTCAAAACTGGTATTGTTTGAAAGCAATTGGATTCAGTTACTGTCGAATTCTGTTATTCTGCAGTTGGTGTAATTTAAAAATAATTTATCTTACCGATCATATCGAATTTTAGCCTATCCAATTAATTTTGTGTGTATATTTTCTCTTAGTTACCATGGTATATTTTTCTATGCTGATGCATACACTGCTATCAGCATTTCATTATTATAGTTGTGTGCTTTCTTTTCTAGGTGGAGTTTGTCTGGATGAGTTTTTTTTCCCCTTTTAAATATATTACTTAATTTCTTGTCATTAACATCATGTTTCCTTTTTTGTCTGATTCTCTTAAAGCCTGCTTATAACATTTGTGTTTTTCTTTCTTGCAGGGCTGAATAATTCTTCCTTTACAGGTAAGAACGTATGCTTTGTTTTAATTAGTTAATATATTTGTCATGCTATTTATTTCTGTCTGTGATCTTGTACCATTCTTCCCACGCTGTTCGCTGCCATATGCAACTAAGCAGTATGAAACCTGCCAGAGCTTTTTTCCTGAAGCAGTCTGACTGAATTCTGAACCAAGCATTTTGCAGTGAATTTATATATTTAAATCCATTTTCTTTTTCTTTATTATACTCCATTGAGCAAAATCTTTATGATTCATTTTGTTCAAATTAAACGGAATCTTTTTCTTTTTTATTTCCTTTTCGTTTTGATTGACATTAAATATTTGATCTAGTTGCGAAAAAATATGGACTTTAAGAAAGTGGCTCTGTCCTAAGTGGGAGTGAGATAACGGTGAAGGATTCAAGAAATTATTTGGGCATCAATGAAAATTTTACTTGGGAGGGACAGAGTCAGTATGCAACATTCAAATATTTAACAAACATCTGGATTATGAGTATGCAGTTTGAGATCAGGATATTGAAATTTTTTATCTGAGTTATTTGATATAGGAACATTTGGCAAAATAAGATTTGAATAAGTAGTGCACGTTAAAAATCTGAAAACAAGAACTGAAAATTTGTTATATGGTGGAAGTTTTCACCGAGTAGTTTCACATACATTTTCCATCAAGAAAAAAAAAAAACCAGATTATTATTT